TCATTGTCCATGTTGGACAGCCCAGGTACAAGCTGTATTCTTTTATGGCTGATTTCCTTTAATTATACTGTTTTGGGGTTTTTTGGTACCAGGGATCGAACTCATGACCTTGCACTTGCCAGGCAGGTGCTTATGTGCCGCTGAACTAAATGCCTGGCAATCATACTGTTTTTGAAGCATCATCTGCGCGTTAATATATAACTGTGGTTTATTTAATCATCCCGTCATTTATAGACACTCGTTTGTATGTTTTGCTGTTAGAGTCACTGAGCTGTGGGCATTCCCATTGGTGTCCCTTGGCACCCATGTGTCCACATTTCAGGGCTGTGACCTAGGAGAAATGCTTATGTAGATGGTGCCAGGCTGGCTTTTCACAGTGACTAGTCTGATGAGTAGGTGGTGAGTAGTATACTAGTATTTCTGTGGCTTGGTTTATGGTTTTCTTCTCAGCCATGTTTTCTGTCTTCCGAGGCTGCTGTAGCTTATGTGCTGGGGATCAAACCCTGTCCCTCAGGCTTGCTAGGCAAGAGCTCCCTGTGGCTGTACCCAGCCTTGATAAGCAGTGTTTATTGGCCATTTCGACAGCATCTTCCGTGAACAAGTTTTCAAGCAAGTCGATGTCTATTGGATTACCTTTTATTTATTTTTCTGGGTTGAAAATCTTAGATACTGTTTCTGGATTCATTTTCCACATCTTGCAATTTTTTTTCTCCATGACTTGCCTTTTTGGTCATCAAATGGTGCCTTTTTTTTTTTTTTTTTTTTTTGCAGTTAGGATCTTGCCGTGTTTCCCAGAATGGCCCCTGACTGCTAGAGTCTGTGATCTTCCTGCCTAAGCCTCCCGAGTGCTGTGCTATCTTGATTAAGTCTGGGCCAGCAGTCTTTTCTGTAGTGTCCTTTTTTTTTTTTTTTTTTGTACCAGGGATTGAATTCATGACCTCGTGCTTGCCAGGCAGGCACTTACGCCACTGAACTAAATCCCTGGCTTTCCATAATGTCTTTGACTCTTACCTAAGTGTCTTTGTTTCCCTGCACTGTGATCATATAGATATACCCCTGTAATCTCTTCGGGAAACTTTTTTTTGTTCTGCCTGACACAATTTGATATATAGTATATCAGAAATTTATTCTTCTATATTCCTTGAAACAGGGATAATTTTTCTTCACTATCTGGCCTATCAGCTGACCCACCACCCTTTATTTAAAGAAGATACTTTGCTCCCATTTATAGTGCTTGATCTGTAACATTTCCATCTGTATGCAGGCTTCTTTCTGATAACCTGGCCATAATCTTGGTCTGCCCTAGGGCTGGGTCTGTAGGTGTGTACTGGGGGGAATTTCTCAGAGAACTCACAGCTCCTGTAGTCCTGGCCTGAGGTCTTCCTCGCTGAACCTGTCCTGGGTTTTCTTTGTTGTGTCTTGCTGCTTAGAATTAAGAGGCCTCACCATAGCAAAGGCACCCAGGGGATACTTGGTAAAGAGTACTGAGATTGACTAACCGTGTCCCTCAGTGAGATGCAGCTGTGTTCAGCAGGTTCCCTGGGGCCTGGATCCCCGCAAGCTCAGGCAGCCCAGCAGGAGAAGCAGCAGCACTCTGAGCCAGCGCAGGCCCGGAAGTGGGGCGTGCTTGCCCTGGTGTCCTCACTCCCAGAAAGGAGATGGGGCAGACCTGTGGCCAGTGACTGCCTTCTTCTCAGCTGCTTCCTGGCTCCTGTGAGCTCCGTGGGCATTTGGCGAGTGTTCTGGAAATGACCTGTATGTGTACGTCTGTTACACATGAATTTCCCTCTGCCTTAGACACTAGAGCTTAAAGTGAATTCCCCCCAGCTTTATTTTCTTTTTTTTTGTCTTTTTCCTTTTTATCAGTACTGGGGATCAAACTCACAACTGCCTGCTTGCAAGGCAGGTGCTTATGCCGCTGAGCTAAATCCCTAGCCCTAAAAGCTAAATTCTTAACCGCCTGAAGATTTCCCCTTTTCCTAGCACTGACATTCCCTTTGTTCCATGTGTCAGAGCTCAGATCTTCTAGGAAAAGTGATATTTTTTCATGTTGAAACAGGTGATATCATATCAGTGATTCTAAGTCTGTTGACGTCCCTCATCTCTAATTAGAAGTAATTTGCAATTCCTTATATTATGTTCATGACTATCAAGTTGAGCTTCATCCTGTCCAGAAGCTTGTATTTAAGAATGTATGTATTTTACTGTGGAGAAACTTGGATATTCCTTTCCTTCTTGAAAAAAGTAGCCTTGATGGCACACCCTTGTAATCCAGCACAAGGGAGGCTGAGGCAGGAGAGTCACTGTGTTCAAGTCCAGCCTGAACTACATTGTGACACTTTGTCTCAAAAAAAAACAAAAAAAGAAAACATTGTGATAAATTTGCATAAAGCACATGTTGATTGAATAGTTCTGCCCTGAGTTTTAATGTTCTGTTTCTCAATGCAGACATGGAATTAGAAGAAGCTATTCGGAGGAGTCTGGAGGAAATGTGATGAGAACTGCTGCTCAGCTGCCAGAACCGGAAGCCCCCTGGGCATCCGGAGCCCCACGCCCTCACCTCAGCCTTGTGTTTTGCGCTGTGGGACAGGACTGGAATGAGTGTTAAGGGAGGTGTCACACGCGTCTTCCCACGCAGGAATTGCAATGTGTCATGTTGACTTGGGGCTCATGTGTTGAAGTTAAGGCTTTTTAAAAAGCTCTTGACCATTGTGTTTTGCAAGTAGCATTACATCTTTAGTTTTATTCATACTGTACAGATGATTCTAGTTTATATTTGTAGGAGTAAAAAATGTAAATAACTCACTTTTCCCACAAGTTCTATGTCTTACGTGGTACTTACATGCAGTGCCTTTGAGGAGCTCATTTTGATTATCAGAAGCAGTCAGTGGAGACTGATGATGGCAACAGTGATTTTCTTTGTGGGTGCCATGCATCTGGACATTGCGCTGTATTTAGAGCAGCACATAGCTAAAATAAAAACTTTTTTTCAGAATAATGATGAAAACGAGTTTGTACTTATTAGACTTCTTTGTGACTTGTATGATCTGTTGAGGGGATGATGTCAAAGTAAATGCATACTACTAAACTTATTTTTAACAGTAGTTGCTTGATATAGTTGTGTAAACATAATTTTCTTCAAAAATAATGAAGCTATACTGAGTACTAACGTGCCTAAGTCTGGAAACTTTGTCCTCCATATGGAGCATCTTCATTTCAGCTATTCATCGAGTTGTCCGTCTCATACATTGGGCATTCTGTATTCTTAAATGTCAAAATTTTTTTAATGATGTAAGTAAAAGACTGAATGGCTTTCATACTTCTTTGTGGATGGTATGTGGTTCACATTATTGAGCCAGAAGTGTCTTCTAAAAATTTGGAGTAGTATTTACCAAATGTAAACTACTTCTATAAAAGACTATATAAAGCTTTCTTGAAGTTTAATAGAAAGATACCACAGAAAGAAACTCTTCATTCTTTGCAACACTAGGTATAAAATGAAATTACTGGTTTGTTTTAGTCTTTTAAGTCCACAACAAGTATTGTGCCACTGAACTACATCCCTGGCCTGTTTTTATCTTAAAATGTCACTCTGTCTGTCCTACTTGCACACGTTTTTAAAGAAGCTGTAGTTTGAAACTATTAATCATATTTCCACAACGAGTGCGTGCTTTTTCATTGTTTCCTGCAAGTGGCCAAGTGAAGCGTGGAGCGTCACCATGCTGGCTTCCTGAGGGCGGGAGCCCACTCAGTGGCCAGGGCTGAGGGGCTGCTATCGCAGGAGGAGATGGTGGCCTAGGGCCACAGGACGGAGACCCACCCATGGCCCAGCTCCAAGTGCCAGAACTGATGCTTCTGATGGGACCAGAAACAGGGGCATTCCATCATGCTCCTTAGGCTTGGGTGGGGTTTTTAATGTTTTAGTAATTGTTACTGTATTTCTACGCACTAATTTAAAATTTTAATTCATAATTTGAACTTAGTTGAGACATAATGACAAAGTTATGTTAGATTTTTATCAGAAATAAATGATTTTTCTTTTTTGGTTTGTTTTGAGCCAGGGCCTTGCTTTGTAGTTCAGGCTGATTTTGAACTCACTGTACAGCCCAGAGAAGCGTCAAACTCCTAGTGATCCTCCTGCCTCAGCCTCCAGAGTGCTGGAGTTACAAGTGTGTGCCACCAAGGCCTGGCTATTTCTGAAACAGGCCTTCACACTGAGCTATATCTGCAGATGGTTTTTTGGGGAGACAGGTCTCACCAAATTGAATAGGTGAGGCTGTACTTTTGAGCCTCTGTCACTGAGTGCTGGGGTTCCTGCTCTGGCCTGTCTTTATTTGCTCAGGTATGTACTGAGCACTTACCACATGTCAGTGACTGGCCCAGCCCAGCCCCCACCTCTGTGTAGCCTGCGCAGGACCTGGCCATGTTCCCAGCTGCCCACAAGAGGGATATCGGGATGGACCAAGGAAGAGAACTTGATACTGCGTGACGGGCTGGGCAATCCATGCCCAGGATGGGTACTGACAAAGACTTCAGCCCACCTCTGTTAGCCAGTGCGTGGGGAAGGGTAGCACTTACAGCAGGCTAATAAAAGAACAAAGCATTCTTGGAAGGATGAGACTGGCACTAAAGAAACTGCACATCTGCTGCACTGCCTAAGAGCCTCGTGGTCCAGTCTGACCCTGTGCTCCAAGCGCCAGGCTGCGCTTGCCCTCAGACTCCTTTCTAAGCTGTGCTCCCTGCAGAACGCACAATGGGGAGAAGGCTGTGCTGGCCGGAGCCGCGGCCAGGGCTGAGGAAGTCTGAGCTGCAGTGTAGGGCGAGAGCCTGGCCCTGGGAGCGAGCTGCAGGGGAGGCGCTGCCGGGAGGGCGGGAGCGGGGGCTGAGCATCCGCTCGGAGGCGCTACAGTCTCAGCTTGTGTCCTGCGGGTCAAAGCCATTACGTAGCCAGTAACCGGCCAGGTGACCCCTGGCTCGGCGGGGTTAGCGTGGCAGAGGCGGACAGGGCTCCTGGCGCTGTCAGAGCTCTGGCGCGTTCAGCCTCAAACCTGTCATTCTATTCTTGTCTTTGGGAGAAGAGGCAGAGAGCTACCGTGAGAGGGACAAGGCTCGTTTGTCCGCCAGTACGGGACATTGAATCTGAGGCTTTCGCCCTGAGCTACGTCCGCCCTCAGTTACTATTATTTTATTGTTTTAGGAGGGTCTTGCTAAGTTGCTTGACCTCAGCTTGAACCTGTGATCCTCCTTCCTCAGCCTCCCACAACTTGAGATTACCGGCACTCGCCCTGGCCGCCTAAAACATCACGTTTTGGGTTTTTGCTTTTTTCTCCTGGTTGCGACGGGATATCATGCAGTTCAGGTTGGGCTTGAACTAGCAGCGATCCTCCTGCCTCAGCCTCCCGAGAGCTGGGGTCACAGGGCTGAAATACAACCTTTTAAGTAGCAGATCGGTGTATTCGGAACAAGCTCCCTCTCCCACTGACCTTGACAGCGTCCGACCTCTGGCTTCCTTCTGCCAGGAGAAGGACGCGGTGCGAGCGCTTCACCCCCGGTTCCTGCGCCTTCAGCTCGGGCACAGCACCGAGGCAGGCGCGCGAGGCCTCTTCCCTCGAGGGGCTGGAGCCTGGGGACGCCCGGGCCATCCTACCCTGCAGCCACGAGGGCGGGGCCGGGCCGCGCCCGCCCCACTGCCCTGCCCTGCCTTACCCTCGCCACCGCCGAGCGGTGCGGAGCGGAGCGGAGCGAGCCATGGCGCAGGCCAGGATCCAGGCCAAGGCCAGCGAGGGCCGCTTCTGCCGCTCGTCATCCATGGCCGACCGCTCGAGCCGCCTGCTGGAGAGCCTGGACCAGCTGGAGCTGCGGTGAGCGGGGCGGGGGAAGCAGGGACGGGGGAGCCGGGGAGGGGCGCGTGCTTGGAGCCTGGACCGCGAAGCCCGGCGGCCTCGCCTCTCCGCTTCTTCCGGCCGGCAGGCTCCAGGTCGCTCGCTCGCTGCCTCCCTGTCTGCGTGGCGCGTCCGTCGGGCCCTCGTTCCCTAAGCGCTCCGCGGACGCTGCGAGCGCGCCCACGAGTGCAGGGCGAAGTGGAGCGTCGGGGCCGGCCGTCCCCTGGGCAGCCTCCGCGCGTGGCCGCCCCGAGCCCCGCACCACACTCTGGGCACCCTCCAGGGCCGCGCCGGCCACCTCCTGCCCTCCGACACAGGGGTGCCTCGCGTGCGGGCCAGGGACCCCACGCACTGCTGTCTGAACGAAAGCCTCGGTCGTGAATGTTGAAATCTTGCATTTGTTTAATGGAAAGTGAATTCTGATTACCGCACATAGTAATTAAATGACAGCTTGTTTAATTGATAGTACCGAGGAGGAAATGACACTGCCTCTCACTGTCCATTTAAACACTTTCCTAAGCCGGGCTCATTGCAATCCCAGAGCTAGGGAGGTTGAGGCAAGAGGGTCACTGCGACTTCAAGGGCAGCCTGGGTTACATCATGAGTTCAAAGCCAACCTGAACTACATAGTGAAACCCACTCAAAAAGACCAAACCAAACCAATTTTCCTAATAATTCAGACTTGCAAGTTTTACTTCTTCCTTAAAAGAGGCAATACTGGCAGAAATTTAAGGAACTATTTCAGAAGGTGAGCAAAAATAGAAAAACACCAAGGCTGCACCTGTTAAAAAGTTTTCTTGAAACCATATGGGCACCAAAGTGTTGCACTGCACACTAGACTCATGCCCAAGGGGGGCTTTTTAGGAAAAAACCGTGGAACTCTCAGGCCCCCTGCTCCAGTAGTCATGTCACTTTAAGTGTGAAATGTCCTTTTGCATTGCCAGATCTCTGCCAGCCCTCCCTCCGCCCTCCCCGCCCACCTGTGGAGGAAATTCCTTCCCTTGAAAGCTGAAAACAGGCTTTTACCACATGCTTCACAACTGCAGTATGATCAGGCCTCTGTGGTGCTTTAAATGTACTAAATACTTGGTCTCAGCTACAGGCTTAAAGAATTTTCATCTGTTCCTAGTACTTTCTCATTACATTAGTCTTTACTTTTTTAAAAAAAAAAAACTTTACACTGCATCTCATTTTTTTTTGCTTCTGCCTAAAAAGATACTTTTCTCTCTGCATTTTCATGACCATTTCTGTGGAGTCCGAATTGCGAGCACGCTGAGGATAGCTGCTTCTCAGCTTCCTGTGACATCTAGACAAGGTGCTTCTTGCCTGGGTGGGGTCCTGTGGCCTTGGTCCCACCGGCGGGAAGTTGAGGCCAGGGATAAATGACTGGTCCTTGGCCCTGAAGCTAAGCAGCAGGGAACTCACACCCCCCTCGCTCTCCAGGGCTTAGCTCTGCCTGTATTGTAAATTAGATGTGTCCTATTTCAGAATGTCAGACAGCTGTGTGAGGGAACAGGTAACTTTTCTGAATGAAAGCGATGGAAATTCAGTGTGAGTTAGCCTTTCATCATCACAGGAGCTCAGCAGGTGGGGAGGGGGCTAGGGCTGGCTCAGGTTGCTTTCACTGACCCCCTAGAGGTCTGACCCAGCCTGTCCTAGACCTGCTCTTTCCCTGCTAAAGTTCCCCATGGGGACCTGACTCGTAAAGCACTGCAAATTAGCACTCTGCAGTCCTCCTGTAGCAACCTGCAATTAACAAGGCGTCTGTCTGTGCTTTGTCACGGAAACTACCCCCCTCCTGCCCCCTGAGTTGACCAAGGCCATATCTGTCCCCATGCCTGTGCAGCATGCAGTGCTGTTGTCCCCTGCCCAAGGCACTGACCGCTCCACCCTGTAGTCTTTGAGTGAAATCAAGCACCTTCATGAGGAGGAAGACCCTGCACCATTTACGCTGCCAAAAGTAGTTGACCAGGTAGGGTTGCGATTCTCTACCACAGAGTAGCAAATGGGAGGTGGGACAGCTTTGAGGGCTCCTCCTCGGTGCGGTGTGAACGCACCTCAGAGGCAACGCCGACCTCCCCAGCCGCCCAGAGCCACATGCCAACTCCCAGAGGTGCCTTCCAGGCCATGCTGTCCCCTCCTTTCTGTCTCAGTCACCAGCACCTTGTTGCCATAGGCAAGAACATGGCCAAGAGTGCCAGATGATTGTGCCAAACTCCCAGAGACCTTGAGGCTGGTGACCCAGGATGGTGCCACAACCCATGTGACTATTGAGGTTCTTGGGGTGAAGGACCGCAAGAGGATGAGAAAATAAAGAAGAGACAAAGCTGGGATCAGGTGGAGCCCTTACTCTCCTGATGGGAGGAAAGGAACTGCTCAGCCTCTGTAACACGTTTACTTATACCCTCCAAAGAAGAATGTCATTTTAGCCCCGGGGCCTAGCAATTTGTTTGCCTGGCTGGCCTGGGCCCCTTGCCTTCTTGGAGCTGGAGCAGCTTGTTTACGTGGCTTGTTTTGGGCTCTCTGTTTTCAGCGACAGGCCTTGTATTAGCCCCACATATGATCTGTCTCCAGCTTTATAGGCTCCCTACAAGACAGCTGAGCTGTGCTTTCATCCTTGTAACTATGCCGACTGCTGGGTTTTTTTTTTTTTTTTTGTTGTTGTTGTTGTTGTTAAAGCTGCTTATTTAATTGGAGACAGAAAAGATGAGGATCAGTCCCTTCCTACTGGGGCCTGCTGCTAAGAGAAGCAATGTCAGATGAGATAGGAGGGATAAAGGGAGCCAGCCCAGCCAATTTATCTAACCAGAGTCAGAAAATAGCAGGGAGATGGGAAATAGTGACACAGCTAAGAATTTTCTAGAACTAAAGGAAAAGCCATAAAAAAAAAAAAACCTGTGTAAGGATAGCAGTAACATATACAGATATTTTCAGATAAACTCAGTAGAGATCTGGGTTCAGCTTTGGAAAAAGAAAAGCTGTAAACACAGAGGACATGTGAGCTGCTCCCCAGGGAAGCACGAAAGGGGCCTGGGGTTTGAAAGATCACTGGGCTGACAAGGGTCCCAAAGGGAAAAAACTACAGGGGAAAAAAACAGCACACAAAAGGCTTATGATGCCCAGAACCCTGCTGTCTTTATATCCTAATGTTAAATTTGCTTCTGCTATGAAATAAAAATTATGTAAGAATTTCTCTAAGAGTGAAATCTAGCTTTCACAGGGAAACTATCCTAGTAATTTTTTTTTTTGGGGGGGGGGGAATTGAAATAGGGTTTTACTATGTAGTTCAGGCTGGCCTTGAACTCACTGTGGAGCCCAGGCTGGCCTCAAATTGAGACGATCCTGCCTCAGCCCCTGAGTGCTGAAATTACAGATGTGCCCCACCATGCCTGGCTAACCCTGGTAATTTCTGTTAACAGGTAAAGAAACCTGTGGGGGTGGGGGGAATCTCCCACAAAGTCTAAAAAGTTCTAATTTCATTTAGTATTATTTAATGATAGAATATCTTCAAATTTATATTTTTTTCTTTCCTTTTAACCCATTCTTTCCCTCCACAAATTCACTATTGTGAATAACTTGTCAATGAAGCCTTCCTTTTTAGAAGAGAATTGAATTCTCTTTATCAACTTGCATCTGAATACAAACCTGGATGTTGAGAAATTAACATATTCTTCCATTAACTTCTCATCCACCGGTCGATCTGCCATTTATGGAAATGTTGGATTCACGGCTGACATCTTAGTGGTATTTCCTGTTGGTGCCAACTCAGTCTGTGGAGTGTGCCAGCTTCAGTTTACTGCTCACTGTCACTTTGCTCCTTTAAGCGCCTGAGTGAAGAATGAATGGTGCTCGAGAGGCCTGCGAGACATCGGTCCTGTCTTGGGGGAGACTGGCCGTGTGCTGCCCAGCTGAGGCTTGGGTCACACGCTCCCCAGCTCTCCACCACCAAGTGTTCCGAACACAGAGGCCCACACAGCCTCCACCCTGGCTGCTGACTCTGTGCTATTTCAGGGTATGACAGGTGGATGTGGGGAAAGCAGTGAGTGGCTGGGCTGGGGACCATGCTAGGACACTGGCGACCTGTCCCTTCTGCTCCTGTGTGAGGCAGCACTCAGACGAGCTCTTCGTAAACTTAGATTTCTGGGATCATCCAGACACACTGAGGACAAGTCTGTCATGTCAGTCCCTGAAGACCGACAACTCAGTTACAGGAACCGTGATACAGGAGTCCGGTGGAAGTGGAGAAGGTTTAAATATGCGAGTTTCCCCTGTTGTTTTGACAGTGTGCAGCTGCATCTTTCGCGGACAGCAGCACCTCTGCGGTCCAGGAGGGCTGCACAACCACTGGAAGTCTAGCCGACTTCCCTCTGACAGACAGACAGACAGATGCCGCCACTGCACTGCCATGCACTGCAGGCCTTCTTAGTACCGTGAAGGCAAAACAAAAAGTGGGATTGGAAAGCAGGAGGCAAAAACTTCTGGTGCAGGGGTGTGAGGAGGCACTGTATGTCTTGCAGTTTTTCATAGCATCCGCCCTCTGCAGGTGAGCTGTGTGGAGAAGCTGCTGGCTTCCTGTTGAACAGGGGGCCCTGCTGCATGGCTGAACAACAGATCTGGGGAGTTTTCCTCTCCTGGATGGGCAAGGGTGTAGTTCAGAGACTTGACAGCAGTAATTGACTAGAAAAGGTAATTAAACTCATTCATATTAGCAAAAATACCTATAAAGCTACTATAAGGAATATTTAAAATTCTAATAAAAGCCAGGCAGCGTAGTACATGCCTGGAATCCCAGCACTTGGGAAGCTGAGGCAGGAGGATTGCAAATTCAAGGCCAGCCTAGACAATAACTTGTCTCACATGCACTGTAAGCATGTAAAAGAAAAAAATGAGAGTCAAGAAATGGATGGACAGGGGCAGGAAGGGAGTAAGGAGAGAAGTGAAGCTGTGTCGGGGACACGCAGCCGGCAGCACACGCTGTGGAACCCCGAGGGGAGGCTTGTGTAGGCCCCCCAGCAGTGTGGCACACAGGTGCAGAAGGCGGGGTCCTGCTGCTGAGGAGCTCTGGGGTGACCTACTGGCGTCCATCAGAAAGCGGGTTGGGGGATCCCCAGCAGAATGCGTGGGGAAAAGTAACTGCAGCAGCTGCACCAGCACAGAGCCTCCAGTCACAGTGCAGGACAGTTGGATGTGTGCAAGGCTGGCCCTGCACCCCAGGAAGGCGGCATTCTGAGTCTCATGGCCTCCGCTGCCATGTTAACACGTGTCTTAGCCTAGCTCGAGCCTCTGCGGTTCAAGCATCCCTCTGGAGGCTATCCTTGTCCAAGTTTCTGCTTTGCTAGTAACGAGGCCACCAGTGCCTCAGCTGGGCTCCAAAGCTTTGTTTTAGGCATCACAGGGGCATTTGTTTCAGTGCAGCCAGTCCCACACAGCACACTGAGCAGGCTAAAGGAGCGCTTACCCAACAGTGCACCACGTGCATGCTTTAACCCCTAACCCTGGAAAGAAAAACTTCAAAAACTGAAATTCTTAAAAAGGCTCCGAAAAACTTAAGTAATGAGACCTCACGCCCTTGAATGTGACACTATTACAAAGATGTCAAATTTCCTCCTTTTTGTTTTTCTTTTGAGGAACCAAATAAACATGTTGGAAAGTTTATATAGGAGAACAAAAGCCCACCAATACCTTCGTTATCTTTAAAGAATACTGGTGAGGGGCTGGGGATTTAGCTCAGCGGCATAAGCACCTGCCTTGCAAGCAGACAGTCGTGAGTTCAATCCCTGGTACCGATAAAAACAAAAAAGACCAAAAAAAAAGAATACTGGTGAGCTTGCTCTACCAAATACTAGGGACTGTTACAAGGCTGGTGCCATGTTTTAAGGTGCGTGTTGGTGTAGGATCTTAAGCCCTACTATGTGGTGGAGGCTTCAGAGGTAAATTTAATGTACAAGCCGTTAGGAGAATGACGGATTATTTTGTAAATCAGGGGAAAATGGTTCACTATATAGAAAAAGGTAAAACAAAATCCTTACCTAGGGTCTGCAGGTTTAGCTCAGTGGCGTAAGTGCCTGCTTGGCAAGCATGAAGTTGTGAGTTTGATCCCTGGTACCAAAAAAAAACCCAAAAAACAAAAAATTCTTACCTAACCACACAAGTGAATTCTGGTGGCAAACATGGAAAAATTTTAAACCATGAAGTTAATGAGAAAACCATTTTATGATCTGGCAAGGCCCAAAAACTTCAAAAGCATAAACTGTCAGGTAAACAGTGAGCACATGGCAGCAGAGTAAGGAGCCCTGAGCAGGGAGCAGGCGCCTGGCCTGTCACGCGATGCAAACCCTAACGCTAACCCGGTCATAGGAAACAGCCCAGACAAGGTCACCGTGCGAGATCTGCTGTGATAAGGAACCATATCCAGGTGGGCAGACACTCGGGCCCGTGGGGGCGGGCCTCTGGGTACGACTTGACCCCGGAGTGGGTGGGCAGCCTACACACAGACGGGGTCAGGGGCAGGGGATTTAGCTCAGCGGCATAAGCGCCTGCCTTGCAAGCAGGTAGTCGCGAGTTCGATTCCTGGTACCGATGAAAATTTAAAAAAAGAGAAAAACAGACGGGGTCAGGCAGGGGATATTGAGCAGCAACCAGAAGCCAGTGCTTAGGAGAATGTCCAGGAAACGCGATGGCCCCAGAAATGAAGTAATAGTGCAAAAACAGCAACAACAACAACAAAAAAACAACCCTCACATTTAAAATATACACAGTGCAAATAAAATAGACCAGTTACCCCATGCGCAAAGAGAAAATGGAGCAAAGTTAAGTCAATTAGAAATAAAAAAGCTGAGCACAACGGTGCGCCTGTACTCTCAGGATTCACTTTGGGAAGCTGAGACAGGAGGATCACTTTAAGAGCCAACTGAGCTGCACAGCCTGACTCTGCGGTCCTGTGTTCAAGCCCCTCTGTGTCTCCCCGCAGGCCTTGAACTTGCACACGTGGCCTCTCGCCTCAGGTTCCCCTAGGCTGGGATTACAGGTGCGACTTTTAAACATGAACGAACTATTTCAGAAAGCAATCCGTGACCTTAGATTTGGGCTGGGACCCATGCATCGGAAGAGGGCGTGGTGGTTACTGTTGGTTCTTGCAGGGTTGAAGCCCTGCGGGAGGCGGCCACCGCGGTGGAGCAGGAGAGGGAGGTCCTCCTGGAGATGATCCACGGCGTCCAGAGCAGCCAGGACATGCGGCAGATCAGCGACGGTGAGCGCAGGCCCTGGCGGGGCTCGGCCACTGCCACCCCACGGCATCCCCAGGAGCCGGGGCTGCAGACGGGGCGGGGGGTGCACAGGGCCGAGCGCGCACGAGGGCCCCGTTTCCTGGGAGCCGTGGCGCAGCTGTGAGCTCCACTTGGTCCTGAGCCCTTCTGCAGGCGTCCAGGTCCAGGCCAAACCCCAGGCTGGCTCCTGGCCGCTGTCCTGCCCGGCTGCCCCAGAGGCCAGCGGGGCATCCAAGTGGAGGTGCACTTCCTTCCCCGCGGCCGAGCCCCGCAGCCTCCGGCCCGACACAAGGCAGTGAGGTGGCACCGTGACCCCCGCCGCACAGGGCTCACCCGAGCGGCTCAGCCCACTCCGCTCTCCTCTTCACACAGCTGCGGGCGCTTGTGTCTAGAATCAGTCTTTGCCTTTGAAAAGTTCCACAGCAGAAGTGATAAAAGGCACAGTCAGGTGCCACGGGATGCGTGGTGTCCTTGAGGTGGACAGTTCATGCCCCATTGACTGACATGTCGCACCCTGTTTTGTTCAGGAGAACGGGAAGAGTTAAACCTGACTGCAAACCGCTTGATGGGCCGAACCCTCACCGTGGAGGTCTCGGTGGAAACGATTAGAAGCCCACAGCAGGAAGAGGCCCTCAAACAGGCCACCAAGGTCATAGACGACGTGGTCAGTAAGTTCCTGGACGACCTGGCCAGTGCCAAGTGTCACCTGATGGCCCTGCACAGCGCCTGCTCGTCTGAGGTGCCGCCGGGGCCTGTGGATCAGAAGTTTCAGTCCATAGTGATCGGTTGTGCGCTTGAGGATCAGAAGAAGATCAAGCGGCGCCTGGAGGCTCTGCTGAGAAACATTGAGAGCTCGGACAAGGCTGTCCGGCTGCTGGAGCACTCCAAAGGGGCAGGAGCCAAAGCTCTGCAAGCACACGCGGAAAGCAGGCTGAATTAGTGCCGGCCGCGGGCGCGGTGCTGTTGGCAGCAAAACCGCATCTTCACCTTCCGTGTCACCACGTGACAGGAGCAGTCGTTTCAGAGGGAACCATTGCCACGTCGGGACTTTACAGCTCGATTAAACCAGTGTTTGAACTACCTAGACTTTCTAGGCTGCCTCCTTGGTGCCAAGCGCTAGCGCTCTATTTCACTGTTTGGTGAAGGAAGCGGCTGTGCAGGCTCTGGCCTGCTGGCACAGGGCTCCTGCTGCTGAGCCACAGCCTGGCACGGAGGTGCTGGAGGTGTCGGGTAGTGGAGGGCTCTGCACTCACTCCACCCAGTGCCGAGGGGCTGCAGCAGATGATTTTTATACACTTGGACATGTGTACAGTGTGAGAAAGTCACCTTTAGTTTTACCAGTGATTAATTACATACCCACTTGGTTTCTCAAATGCATTCTTCTAGAATTTCTACGTTCTTCTTGAAAAGGTGCTTGTCCACGTAAAACACTGATTTGCATAGCTATGCCCTGATGGGCCGTCCCCTCTCCTGGGAGGAGGGCAGCTCTACCATGCGGCTGTTGCTAAGATGCAGCCACTGCTGAGCTTCAGCTCTGCACAAACCCAGCCTGGGGTGTCCTGGGTCACGGGCCCCAGGTTCATGGCCTAACGCTGATTTTTAAGTAGTATAAAAGTTGTGTCAGGTTTTACTGCCTTCAGTAATTAAATGTGGCCATTTCACTGAAATTTTTTCAAAGCTGATCATTAAATTTTTCTAACATTAAACAAGAAACACCTTATCTACTTTGCATCTTGCTTCCTGACAGGGTTGACCCATGTGCTGATCCCTCACCTGTGGGGGGTGAGGCAATCTTAGGACATTTACTTGCTAAATGTAACCAGGACTGCTGACGTACAGAAACCACTGTGCTTCTCTCCCTGCTGCCTTGAAACCAAAATTCCAAAGGCTTTTTTGTAAGAATGTCGGTGTTCTGAGAAGAGAGGAGACCCGCACTGACTTTACATACTTGGGTCTGGCTCCTTAGCCGACTCGGGAGGGCTGCGCGTCACCTCGTTCTAGACCAGCATTTTGCAAATGGGTGATGGAGCTTCCTTCAGCCTCCCAAGCACTGCCCAGCCTGGGAGGCACACGCTTGCCGTCACTGGCCACGGGTCCCCCTGCTGTGTCCCCCCCCCCACCTCTGTGCTCAGCGCCAGGCCTGCTGCAGGGTCCAGGCCACAGCTGCGGCCTGCAATCTGAGGAGCCCTGACCGCTGTGCCGCTGCCGTGCACACCTGCCCGCCTGTGCTGCTTTACGGCAGCCCTGCTCCCCGAGGAAGATTCCCCCTCCCTGGCCCGGGGCGTCCATAGGGTCCCTGTGCCCAGGAACTCACCTGAGCGGGCGGGAGGCAAACACGGGGACGGACACAGCCAGAAGGACTTCCCTGGGGGAGCTGGCACATGTGCAGATTATTATGCAGCGTTCGTGTGTTTGTCCCCTTCAAATGGCTGTGATAAATGACACAGAGGAAGCACATACATTCTTCCATACCAGGAATCAATCTTGGTGCCTTGTACTTGCCAGGCAGGTGCTGCTCGCCGAGCTATACCCCAACCGCTAATTTTGTCTTGTATTGTTTTGAGACAGGGTGTCCCCATGTAGTTCAGGCTGGCCTTGAGCTCACTTTGAGCCCAGGTTGGACTCAAACTTAGAACCATCGTCCTGCCTCAGCCTCCTGAGTGCTGGGAGCACACCTGGCAATACTACTTTTGGAGGCTGGATTAACAATTATCTAGAGATACAGAATACAGTTAAAAGAAGTGAGAATCCCGGAAAAGGGGAAGACAAGAGAAAGTTTGAGCTTGGCTGTTCTCTACGTGCAGGTCCGAGTACAAGAAACAAGCAGCTCACCCACTCCAGCAGGGCAAGGCCCATAAAGCCAGACCAGCCATGCAGGGCCTGACCAGCCATGCAGGGCCTGACCAGGTAGCATCTGTTACATGGGTCAGAAGTAGCCAGGCAGGTGGCACACACCTGTAATCCTAGCATTCGGGAGGCTGAGGCAGGATTGCTGCTACTTCAAGGCCAGCCTGGGTGACACAGTGAGCTCAAGGTGGGCCAGGACTACATGGTGAGTCCACTGTAGATCTTCCCTCCTCCAAAAAACCAAAACCAAAACCCCATGGTTTACTTTATACCACTGGATAAAACAAGACAAAATAACTTTCTTGAGGAGAATGACAGATAATATTATAATTTCCTGGGCAAAATTATGCAAAGCACGATGCTACTAAGCTGCACTACAGTAAGCCTGTAGCTGTTCCCCTGGCTGTGAGATCTGACTCTGTGAGATTAGACTGTGAGATCTGAAGGGATCCACCTCGAGAATGTTCTCTGTGAATGGAGCCTGTCTGGAAGTCATAAACTTACTCTATGTAACTACTCTTAGAAAAATGAGTATAGTAGTGATTGGAAAAGTTAGCTACAATATACAAGATCAAGTTACTTTGATTGTTAAAGTCATGCTATGCCTCTTACTGTATTCTGAGTTCACTGATGACACACATGCATATCACACATCATAGCTGAGAAATGCATTTATTTTCTGATTACTGGAAGTCGTCATTGGAATTTTAATCAAGGAGCATATTTTAAGCTCGAGGGAATAATGCAACCTAATACTAGTACACACAAGTGGGTTTTCATTTAAACTTACACATTATTAGCAACAAAATGTAGCAGGGGTCGTTTTCCTTTTACTCCAAACTTACTATTTTTAAAATATCTTTTATCAAGACTCTACTATAGACATGGGTGGGAGGACATGATACCAACCAGTAAGGGTCACAGCTGATTACTCAGCCTGGGAACTGAAACCTTGTTTGCAAATAAGTTCACTAGTATGATAGATTTATGAGATTTACATGTGACAGCCTGCAAAGCCCACAGGACACAGCAATCAATTATCTAGTTCATTAGAGTCCAAGCTGCCCCCCAGGCCGCTCTGTGCTGACACAGATACTTGCTGCCGAACCCCGCCCCGCCCCACCCCTGCAACTCAGTGACCAGGACTCTGAATGAAGTGCTCAGCTCTTCCCTGAAGGCCTTGCACAAGGTGCCAGGCTGGGGTGGCTGACAGCAGGGTTTCCACTGCGGGGCAAGGCCGGTCCTCCCTCTGGTAGTGTTTAGCTCCACTCTGAAAAAGTCCAGGTGTGCCCAACCTTGATCCACACACAAGAAACCTCCGCCTGATGTGATGAGCTGCAACCTGGCGGGGCTCATCCCGGCTCATGGACGGGTATGTGACAGATCCCAGAGGTGCTGAGGGAAAACTGTTAAAAACATTCTGAAGGTTTTAGAACTGACGGACTTGACAAAACTACTTGATTACTTAAAATGACTACGGTTAGGTATAAAATATAGCAGTGAAAAATAAAAATTCAAGTATGTAACAAAGATATCTTCATTTTTTTGTAAAAAAACAAAACAAAAAAGGCTATAACAAAGTACCACCAATTACATTTTTAGTTGGGTTTTTTTTTTTTTTTGGCGGTACCGGGAATGGAACTCATGACCTCGCGCTTGCCAGGCAGGCACTTATGCCACTGAGCTAAATCCCCAACCCTCACCAATTACATTTTTGACACAGAAAAGGAACACACTTTTACCTACACACAATCATGAATGTGAAACAGAACTTCACTGTATTATAGAAAGAGTAACTTTTCTGCCCATAAGATGAAGATTACTTGCCAGAACATATGTTTTGAGAAAAAAAGAGACACTACCTGAAGAAAGTTTAAAAAAAAGACAAGACTCACTAGCAGGTACCCGCTGTTAAAAGGGAGATCTTCCCCAATGCTTGCTTGTCCCACTGCCAGCAATGGGAATGTAAGAGCCAAGGATGTAACACACCTGCCCTAGCTCGTCCACAGTGTAGACAGCAACAATGTAAAAGCAACACTGCTTGGGACAGCCCTCACCAAGGACAGGCCCTGGGAAGCGCTCTGACATCCTCACAAGTGGACAGAATGGTACAAATGGGAGACTTCAGAAAACATAAAACATGTACGAGAAATGTAAAATATTTATGCATTTAGTACAAAATGATGAAAAATGACTTCATGGTGCATTTTCCAACAAGTTATTTTTATACATTTTGAAATCTTGTAAAAACCAGATATACTGAAAGGGTTATTTACATTAAGCCAGGCTCATACCTGTAGTCCCAGCACTCCAGAAGGCTAAGGCAGGAAAACAGGTTTGAGCCCAGCTTTAGTGAGACTGTCTCAAATAAAAAGGCTGTCGATGTACCTCAGTGTGAAGGTCCCAGGTCTAATCTCCAGTAATACAAAACAATCCATGAGTGATGATGGGTGATAAAAAGGGCATTTTGTGGGATTGTCTGTCTGTCTGTCAGTGAGACAGGGTCTCACTATGTGGTCCGGACTGACCTTGAATGTGCTATGAAGCCCAGCCTGGCCTTGAGTTCTTGATTCTCCTGCTTCAGCCTCTAAAGTGCTGGGCTTAGAGGTATGCACAACAATGCCTGGGTTGGTAATCAGTTTTTATAGTTTAATTTCCTTTGTTTGGAAGGCTACAGTCCCAAATCACAAAATATGTGCTCTTGTCATCACACAGCAGATCACTTCTTAAATTATTTTTTTATGTGGCACTGGATAGAGCTCTCAAGAAAGTGCCACACACACCAAAGGCGGCAGAAATTTTCAGGCTGACTCTAAAATACAGTACCATATAGAACTGTGTACACAAAAGGCTGCTTTGGAGGTTCTGGGCACTATAAAACCTGTAAGCTGATTAGGACTACAGATAACCACTTCCGCATTTTAGGAAACGGTCAGCACAAGCTTCGAAGGGGCTGCGGTAAGGGCACCAGATGCACACGCATGTGGCACAAGACATAGGGGCACAGTGGCCACCTGGGAGGGGCTAACGTCACAGAGACCCCTGGTTTAAAACAGCTAAAGCCCTCTTCCATGAATCCTGCCACAGAGGAAAACAACATAAATTCTGATAGTAAAGCATTGTCCAATTAGGTTAATATTTTTGGCACATAGCACTTTTAGTTGAAGCTCATTATGCAAAACTCGGAGGGGGGCTCCTTATCTGAAAAGGAAAGTATGCAGATGCCCAGCATGTCAGTGATTTTACACATGATCAGTGCCCACCTTTCCCAGGCAGGCTCCGTGCGGGAGCCCTCGGTGCTCACAGCCGCCATGCACACAGAGGCATGGCCTGGCAGGTGTGGCGTCCTTGCGGGCCTTCTTTTCTGTCAGGATTCAGACCCATACTGTTTCCCGGAAACACTCGATGGCCAATTTCAGAAAACCAAGGCTTGCTACCTTTCCTGATGCACAGTATTAAAATCTGGACCAACATATTTAGGCATTTCATTTATGCTTTCACAATTTAGCAGAACCTACTTTTGATATTTCTTTTAGTAATCTTTCAAACACAGGACAAGGTTTGTCTTAACGTAAACAAAATATAAAAAAAAATTAAAACGCATCCCTAGGGCAGTGACATCCCACCAGAGGCCTCGCTCTGTGTTCTGGAAAGCGCAGTGCTGCCTGCGGCAGCGCCCAGGGAGCCGGGAGGTGCAAGTCTTGGGAAACACTTTAGTACGCCCAGCATGACACCTGGGCATGCCTGTTCGTGAGGTATGGGATGCAAACCAACTCTTCCCCTCCCTGAGCATTTAGGGTACGCTGCAGCTGCTGAATGGATTCCTGCTTTTCTTGGTCCTCTCTTTGTTAGGTCTAAGGTTGATGACGTCTCCGCCGTTAATGGTACTTGACTGACTCAAGCGACTGCCCCCAGAAGTACTGAAGACACCTGTATAATTTGAGGGAAAACAGAGAGGCTGACTTTGATAGAGTGCAGTTACCTGAAACATGCAGTGAAGTATTTTCCAGCATTTACAACTGTTTTCATTTTACTGTATTAAAATGCAAACACCACCACAATTTACTCTCTTGACCTTTTTTTAAGGGGGGGGCAGTATTGGGGTTCCACAGCTTTGGCACTGAGTTACACCCTCAGCTCATTTTTCAGTTTTGAGATAAGTCCTAAGTTGCTAGGTTGCCTGGACTAGGCACAAACTTGTGATCCACCTGCCTCAGCCTCCCAGAGAGCTGGGATTTTGGGCCTGTACCATCAGGTTGAGCTATCTGAGGTATTTTTAAGTGTCAAGCAGTGGTATTAAATACTCATGAGGATGCACAGCCATAGCCACTATGCCCCGCCACTGCTGCTGCCAAGGAAGACTGAGCTCTAAACCTGTTCAACTGTGCTCTCCACTCCCTTCCCCAGCTGGGATCTGCCACTCTCCTCCCTGTCCCAGGACTCTGCCTGCTTCATTCACTTGGAGTCCCGCCGCCTCTCAGGGCCAGGCTCATTTCACTGTTCTACTAACTCTTCTGATTGCTGAGACAAAATACCCAACACCCCAAGTTAAAAGAGCAAAGGTTTATTTAACTCCCAGTGTGTGGAGATTGCAGTCCAAAATCAGCTGGCTGCAGGGCAGGGTAGACATTGCAGAGTGGGGACAGCAGAAGAGAAAGTTTATGAAGGGCAGAAGGCAGCGAGGCAAGCAGGGAATGACCACAGCTCTTTCTATCCCTTCTATCTTACCCACCTGGGGCAGGTGGCACTCACACCCTTCATACTAACACTGCACCATGAACTGATCCCGCATCACGCACTCTGGATTCAGCATCCTCTGAAAAGCCCTGCTGTGTGAGGCTTTGGAGGACATCTAGACCTAAACTATGACAAGCACAGTATTTTTAAGAGTCATCCAGGTTGTAACATACTACAAAATTCCCTTCCTTTTTAAGCTGTTTTTACGTAGGACATTTTGTTTATTCATTCACATGTCAGTGACATTTCAGTATTTAAATTTTTAACCTTTTGGGGCTGGGGATTTAGCTCAGCAGCATAAGCACCTGCCTTGCAAGTGTATGGTCGTGAGTTCGATCCCTGGTACCGGTAAAAAAGAAAAAGACAAAAAAAAAAAAAATTTAACCTTTTATTTATATTTTTCTTTTTTTTTCTTTGAGAACTAACAACTCCTTTTGGTTTTTTGGTTTTTGGGGTTTTTTTTTTTTTTTTTTGGTACCAGGGATCAAACTCACAATCTTGTGTTTGTTTGCCAGAAAGGCGCTTGTGCTACTGAGTTAAATTCCCGCCTTTTTCATTTATCTAAGATATCGCTGTGTTCCCTAGATTCGGCTCAACCTCAAGATCTTCCTGTCTCACCTCATAAGTACCAGCACTATGGGGTCCCTGTCACCATCATCAGCTGCCTCTACTGTACAGTATATGTATATGAGTATGTATGTATTGGTCTTGCTCAGTTGCCCAGGCAGGACTCGAATTTGCAATCCCTATGCCTCTGCTTCCCAAGGGCTGGATTTACAGATATGCACCACCAAATCCAGTTTGTTTACTTTTAATAGCTTATACAAAAAAGGCTTGGTGACGCATGCCTTGTAGTCCCTGCTACTCACCACAACTTCAAGCCTGGCCAACACAATGAAACTCCTCAACAACGACAAACAGGCTGAGGCAGCTCAAGGGACACAGTGAGTCCCCTTCTCAGCAGCTCCTGCCCTGAGCTAGTTTTCTTCCCCAGGAGATCACTCTCAGTTTTCCCAGGCATCTTTCTAGAAGTTTATGCATACACAAGCAAAATGTCCGTTTCCTCCCTTTTCTGTATCAACCACAGCACAGTCTCTACACCATTCTGTATTTCTTCACTAACAACATATTTTGAAAATCTGAAATCAACTAATAACTTCACATCGTGTACCTTCCTGGAGAATAGGCGATTTATAGTTTGCAGTATTTGAAAGTTTTATGGTAATAAATGCTACATACATAAATGCTGGTAGTAACATAGGCTTTTTTCTTATTTAGGCTAAAACAACAACATAAAGGTAGCCCACAGGCAAAGTGACAAACAGATCAAAGGATAAACTGTTGGGGTTTCCATCTTTTTTTTTTTTTGTCTTTTCTGTTTTTATGGGTATCAGGGATCTAACTCACGACCGCCTGCTTGCAAGGCAGGCGCTTATGCCGCTGAGCTAAATCCCCAGCCCCGGGGTTTCCATCTTGACATGTGCAGAGCTCTCGTTTACACTGAGCCAGCACCTCTAGACACTGTGACACAGGAACAACAGGTAATCATGCCAGCTCTCACCCACAAGAAGCCTCCAGCCAGGAGGTGAGGGCAAGCAGACACAGTACTGTGTCTGAAAGGTGACCTAAGACCCCACAGGTGGCGCAAAGCAAGCACTGATCCGTAAGGCGGGAAAAGTTGTGGAGACTGGGACAGCAGCAGGCGGTCACAGCCACTTCCACAGCCAAGCATGCCCTAGAAGTAATGCGCAGCTCAGACTGGGACGCTGGGTGCGGTCCTCTCCTCCAGGAGAAAGGGCAGTGGGAGGTACATGGCAGACAAGGACAGGCCCTTCCCACGCCGTGTGGAGAGCGCCGAGCCAGGGACCCACAGGACCGGCCTAACAGAGGCCTGACTGTTCACCAGGCATCCACGGAACCAACAGCATCATTGCACACACAAGAAAAATGGCAAAATAAGAAACAGGAAGCCAGGAGCAGGGTAAGAGCCACATTAATGATGTACGGGCTGCTGCACATGCAGCAGGGCATGGAAGGCAGATGCAAACGCCCGAAAACCCACCCAGAAGCTGGGAGGCAGCAGGTGCAGGTCTCAGCTTCCCCGATGCCACAGCGCAGTCAGCAACCATGAAAAACACAAAACACACTCATTCCGTGGGCTGCTGAAATTCTGCTGGCGTTAACATGCGAAAGAATCACTGACAGGTAATGACCAAGGTGGTAGAGGCAGCGGTAACAGAGCACAAGCACAGACTCAGGACAGGCACTTTAAAACTCCTTTCTAGCCAGGTATGGTGTGCACGCCTGTAATCCTGGCATTCAGGAGGCCAAGGCAAGAGGGTCACTGTGAGTTCAACGCCAGCTTGGGCTACAGTTAAGTTCAGCCTGAACTACATCTCGAGATCCTGTCCTGAAACACAAAACCCACTTCTTTTCTATAAACGACAGACCTTTACAAAAAGTTATCTCTGCTGTATTTTCTGTATTAAATGGACTCATAAAGTGAAAAATCCTTTTAACACAATCTACCTTTCAATAAGACATCTGACACTTTTAAGTTCAACAACCAACAATCTAACACTTTTTAAATAACATTTCTTAAAGAAATGTCCATATTACATATAAAAAAGTAAATGTAATGATAATGAATGGAGGATAACTGCTCAGTAAACATGGGTTGAAATTTCCTGGGTACTTACCAATTTTGTTACTACTTGAATGCTTTAGTTCTGGATTCTCAACTGTTTGTTGTTTGAGTTTCTGAAGATATTTTTCAGCCAAATATTTAAAAACTAGAATAAACACATATACTAGGTCAGTATGATTTATGCAACTATTACCTATAATATTTATATTTACTAAATAAATTTAAATTGGAACTAGAAACAACAATCTAGATAAAAATTCAGCTCTCAAAAATTATATGAGCAGTATCAAGTACAATAATAATGGCAACAATTATATAGTAGTATTTTATTAAAGAAATAATACCTGTAGTCATTAGCTCTTCTCTTCTATTTCAACTTTATTTATTTTCAGTGTTTAGAGACAGAGTTTCACTTAGTAGTTCAGACTAATCTTGAACTTACTATGTAGCTCTAGGAGGCCCTGAACTCACAGCAATCCTCCTGCCTCAGCCTCCTGAGTGCTGGGGCTGCAGTATGTCATACTCAGCTGATAATTAATACTTAGCAGGCTTAAAACTTGTCTACTTTCTTTAGAGAAAAGTCTCCAGAATAAACACCCATTTGCAATCTTACAAGCAACAATTCTGGGTTTTTATAATTTTTATTTATATGTATTTTTTTGGTACCGGGGATTGAACTCATGACCTTACACCTGTCAGGCAGGCACTTATGCCACTGAGCTAAATCCCCAGCCCAAAGCAACAATTCTGGAATGAGAAAAGTCAGCAGCTTCTTTTCCAAATTCCCACTCTGAAATTGGGAAATATAATTAAGCCAATTAAGGTCACTGTAATGGCCTAATAGAATATCTAATGCCATGATTTTTAAAAGATATAAATAAAAACACATACATGCATACACATTTGCACTCAGGTCTTTAGAGGCTGGGACACAGCTCAGTGGCGCAGCACCTGCCTGGCAAGCATAAGGTCCTGAGTCTGATTCCCAGTACCGAAAACAAACAAATAAAAACAAATCACTTTAGATCTTTAAAGATAATAAAACCCTAAACCCTACCCGACTTGCTTGTAGAAAGTAGTAAGTATTCATTAGTAAGTAAGGACTATAAATTTAAATAACGCCTTTAAATTTTACTTAATGTCAGGGTACCAAAAACTCCCACAGAAACACAACAGAAAAGGCTTTCTGAAGAAACAGTATTTGAAGGTGAAATTTACCTTCGTTCACATTGAGATCTTCTTTCACTGATGTTCTGTAGAATCTGAGCTTCAACCTTTTGGCCAGTGCCTCCGCTTCCTCACTGCACACCAATTAAAACATGTGTGAGGGACCTGCTGCCAGCTCTGCGTACACGGCTCTGGACCCTGCTCCTCGGGTCAGGCTGGCGGGTGCTGGGCGGCCCTAGGCCTGCAGACCACTCACAGGTCTGCTTGGGGCACTTTAGACAATGCCCAGGCAGGCAGAGCCAGGGAGCCAGCTCTCTCCAAGCACCTGAACTGAACGGGAGCTTCAGGCTTCCTTACACTTGGGAGAAACGCCACCCACAACCCTGTAACTGTAAATGGGACACTGTCCTATAAAGTCTTGAATCTCCAGCTATAAAATAACTAAGTATCATTCTTTAACATTTTAATTAATTTTCTCCCTTTTTAGAAGAATACTTGAATTTAATTACAACCTGAAAAGTCTGACACTGAATTACATCTTATTCTTACAGGTCACAAAATAATTTTGCTGCCAAAGACCAAGACCAGCATATTAATGTGAAGTCTACAAGAAAGGGCTCCTAATTTACTTTTACGAGGACTCTGGTTTTACTTTTTCTGCAATAAAAGAAGCCATGCTCCAAGATAGTCCCTCAGCTCCTGGCCTTCAGAGCCTTCCCACCTGTCCTATGGATTGGTCTAGGTGCCCAGAAAATCCTAATGAAGCGACAGCAGGTGACTTCTGAGGCCAGAGCACAAGGGGCACCATGGCTTCTGTCCATGGCTCCCCCACTGGGGGAACAGCTGCCTCTCTACAAGGCTGTCACATAACCCTAAGGAGAGGCTCACTGATCAGCACAAGAGCTGCCCCGGAACCAGACCTATGGGCACTGTCAGACCTCTGTGTGACTAGCCTACACCATGAGCCAACCCCACACAAAATCTCTCAGCTAAACTACAATCCAATTCCTATAGAAACCGTGATTGGAAAACTGTTTGAGGGTTTAAGTCCCTAAGTTTGAGCTAGTTTATTCTGCACCAACAGATAACAGAATATTTCTTTTTCATTTGTTCATCTGTTTTTTTGAGACAGGGTCTCACTATGTAGGGCAGGGTGGCCTTGAATGTACTATGTAGCCCAGGCTGGCTTTAACTCTCTGTGCTCCTTCTGCCTCAGCCTCCCAAGTGCTGGGATTACAGGCATGCGCCACCATGATCGGCTGAGAATGCATTTTTAAAAAGGTAAAAACCAAGCAAAGATTTTCAAAGCTAGCAAAAATAATAAATGCAACAAGTAACTATTGGCTGAGATTATCTGGATGCTGAACTCCATACAGATTTGAGGCTAATGATTTAATAATGATATACAAAACTATAGGAGCCTGACTTTTCCACTTCAGTTCAGCAACACAGGACAGCTAGTCGGCTTCAAACACCCCGCGATGCTTTTCACAATATCTAGGCCTCAACAAGGAAGGCTGACTTTGTGGTATAAGGACTTAAGACAGTAATTCTAAAAGGCCCTTTTAAACTTATTTCGTTAATTTTTGTCATGTAAAAATCAATGTGAGACTTGGGGGGTCTCCTACCCCAGACATGGCTATCTTACTTCTTTATACAAGAATCGTCCAGGAGGTCAATCTTGTTTTGGACCAGCACAGTTGGTATCTCTCCAACTTCAGCAACTACCTTTTCTCTCCAGCTGGAAACTGCTTCGAAAGATTCCCTGTCGATAGTAGAAAACACAAGTACACAAGCCTGGGCTCCTGTAAGGTCACAAAGTAAAAGTGTTGTTTACATTAAGGAACAATCTGTGTTCTGAATACATGAATGGGGTGGGCCAGAGGTGATTTCTACCTGCTCCAGCCAATTTCCATGCAGACCAGAACTAAACCTGTCTCTGCAACACTGCTTTCTTAGCTTACCACGTAAACCCTTTCTAACCCAAAGAACCTTTTTTTTTTTTTTTTTGGAAGTATAACGATTTTCAAACACACTTACGTGTGTCAAAGTACCCTCAAACCTGCATTTTTCCAATATTAAAAGACCCAATCAAAACCTGGGCAACTGAAATAAACAGACACTTGTTAGAATAAGTACAAATGGTCAATAACACATGGAAAAAACATTTGACACTGCTGGTCATTAGAGAAATGAAAATTAAAACAATGCTAAGATTTCATCTAACTCAAAAAAGAAAAAAAAGTGTGGGGGGGAGCTATCATCAAGAAACCAAGTAGCAACAAATGCTGGTGAACCTACAGGGAAAAAGGACACGCGCACTCCTACATTTATACCAGCACAATACATAATAGCTAAATCTTGAAAGTGGCCTGTATACGTCCATTAACAGATGAATGGATAAACAAAGTGTGCTATTTACACGCAATGGGGTACTACTCTCCCATGAAAAAGGATAAACTTGAGTCATCTATAGGAAAATGGATGCACCTTCAGACCACAATGTTAAATGAAATGAATCAGGCACACACATTTAAATATCACATGGTTCCTTGTACATGGGAAACCCAAGATACAAATAAAGAGCAAAATTACAGATGGATGACAGGAAGTGCAGACAAAGATCTTTTGCAAAAGTGAAGGGGACCAAGACGTGCCGGAAGAGGTAGGGGAGGGAAGGGGGACACAAAAAGAACTGAGGACATGGTGCGAACCAGCACCAACTCCCCAGGACAAAGGTAAGTGTTGTGCGCTGTAAACATGTAATAATAAAAAATAAACACTGAAAAAACGAGGCTACAGGATCCCTTGGGTTCTTTCTTTGACCTCAAATTCTTTACTGACACTAGTCATCGTCTGCAAAGTCAACACTTTGAAATTATCTGTTGTAGCGACTTATGTTCTTCATTTCTTTTTCTTTTTGGTTTTTTGAGACAGGGTCTCACTAGGTAATTCATGCTGGCCTTGAACCTTAAACTCACTCAGTAGCCCAAGTTGGTCTCGAACTTGAGGGGATCCTTGTGCCTCACCTGAATGCTGGCATTACAGGCAAGTGCTACCACGTCCAGCTGTACCTTCTTAATTTTTAAACGCAGCCAGTTAATGTTTTCTATTCTTCTATTCACAGAGACCATAAAGTTTCACTATTCAGCCTTCCTTCAATCCCATCTACCCTAAGAGTGACAGCATTAGAACAGCTGCTTCATCAATAGATTACAGCAAACCACCAAAAACAACTTATTACTATAAGCTACAAACTGCTACACTCACCCACATATCAAGAGAGACCTGAATGCATTGGGGGTCAGTGATACATTTGCTAACAGCAAATATCCCATTCCCAATTAGTGAGATCATTCCTAAGCAGCTACTGCAATTCAGAGAAACATTCCTGCAACAGGAAAGCAGGCAGTGCTCCTGTGCTGACTTCATGGAAAGCCTTGGGGGTGCCGCTGACCTGCTCTGAAGGTGAGGCAAAGACCAGCATCACCTGGGCACTTGCGGAAAATGCTGCCAAACCACCGTCCCCAGGAGTCATGCGCATATTCAAGTTTGAGAAGCAGTGCTGGAAATCTGCCAAGGACACAAGGTGATAGGAAATACAACGCACTGTGCATTCCTAATTATTGACACTGTTTTCAACTTAAAATGCTTGGCCCTTATTCTTTTTGACACTGCATGCCATTTAAAGCACACGCTATTATTCAATGGGCCAACCTATCAGATTCTAATTTCAAAACAAAGGAGACTTCTGCATGGTCTGAATTCAGTTGTTTCTTCACTTTTACATTTCTACTTGGGCACTTAATCAGGGCTATTTTGTGTCCAACAATTTATATTCATTTGTTTCTGAAAAAAAGGTACTTTTTAAAACAGGAGAAATTTCCTGGATGTGGTGGCTCACCCCTGTAATCCCAGCACTCGGGAGGCTGAGGCAGGAGGATCGTTGTGAGTTCCAGACCAGCCTGGGCTACAAAGCGAGGTCAAGGCCAGCCTGACTGCATAGCGAGACCCTGTCTCAAAAACACCAAAAAAAAAAAAAAAAAAAAAAAAAAACACAGGAGAAATGTCCTATGTGCATAAACTCAGATAGCAGGTTTCAAATCTATAACTTTATTTTTCTATACCACTAGTCATTTTTCCTTGGGACTTAATGGAATTCAGGGTACTCTAACCCTGAAAACATGGCATTTTGGCATAAGGAACACTTTAAGCTAAAGGCATCTAAGGAACATCTGAGGCATCTGAGGACTCTCTGACCCTACTGCCCCGAAGTTAAACAACACCCTCGGAGACAGGCGCTCTCCCCACACCTGGAAGAGGGGACACCTTCATCTCCGGAAGAGGGAGGAACTCCAAGAAGAATCGAAACAGATGGGCTGGCTAAGCTCCCTCCAGTTCACTGCTCTTTGATCCTTTTCCTGCATTTTTGCATGATTTTCTACTATTCCACGAACCTAGAATAAAGATGCTGAGGCTTATCAGTTTCTTTGAATCTTCATTTCCTTATGAAGGCTCCTGTGCTACAAAAAAGTTATATTAAATGCCTAACTGCAGGCTAGTTTGCTAATGTGTCTTGCTAGTAAGACCATCAAAACCAAAGGTAGAAGGAAAAGGGTTATTTTTTACTCACCTGTAAAGCAAAGTCATAGTGAAAATTATTTTCTGTTCTATGCATCTTTCTGTACTAAGCACTGGTTGCTAATGCCTGGAGCACACTCTCTTCAAGTTTTAAAGGACTCATTACAGATCCCAGAAGGCTTCCTAATAGGATCTGTGCTCTGCTATAACCTCTTTCTAAGAAAGTCATGTTTTAACCTATCTCATGATGCCATCAAGTCAACAACCCAAGTGCACAATGAGGATTCTGAGCGACAGTTATGGTACACTAGGTCTTAGGGAGGGGCAGGGGCAACCACAGGGTCTCACTGTGAACTCCTTCTGTTGGCCAGGCTGGACTCAAACTCACCGTGAGCCTCTTGCTCTAGCCTTCACATGTGCTGCAACAGCCAGCAGTAGGTCTTTGGCATTATAATAAAATTTAACTTTTATAATTTGTTAATGTTTTATGTAACATGAATAATTCATTTCTAGGATTTAAACCAGAGTCAGAATTGTTTGGTTTTTATTTTTCTTTTGGTACCAGCAATCGAACTCAGGATCTCGCAATTGCCAGGCAGGCGCTCATGCTGCAGAGCTGTATCCTCGGCCCTCAGAGTCATAATCGTGTAAAGTATAGTCTATCACTAAGTCTGTGTCTTAACTCATTTTCCCAGCCTCTCTCCTCCTTCTAGTCTTTACTTCGACCTAATGACATTGTTATCTAAATCCATACTAGCAGCAGATAGCCTAGATGGCATTAGGAGACCGTTTCTGGCCTGTATGGTAACCACTTGGGCTAGGCGGTATAGTTCTAACCTCTGCTAGATGAGCAAGATGGGGAAATTAATCTAACTACTGCAGTCAGGTCAAGGGAGATCTCATCAGAGAAGAGCTTAAGATTCACAGTAGTGGGCCACAGCAGTGGGCCAGGACCCTGTCTGTCCAAAGATATAACCAACATAGCAGTCTCGCAACTACAGATAGCAGCATAAGAGGAACTCTGCACAGCGAGAAGGCAAGGACAGGAGAGGTGGTGAACAACAATCACAACAAACCACAGCTAAATGCTATCTTACTTTCAGACTTTGCTATTAAACAAATCTATAAACTTTATTTATACTTTAAGCCAGTTTGAAATTGTTCTCAGCAGCCAAGAGCTTTCTCATGGAGCCCCAAAGGAAAGCATAAAAGAATATTTGATGTAACATTTCTCAAATTTATGTAAAATTGCTATTTCTTCCATAATTCAAACTATATTGTGATAAATGTTCATTTTTGCAATTTAGGAGAAGCAGCAGCTCAAGCTAAAGATTTACCTCAATTTCCCACCTTCTCTGCCGTTTTAATTAACATGTGCCTGCTGGCTTGAACCACCACTGGGCAGCTTGTACCACTGGTGGCACAAATGGATTAATAAAATGAATAAAAAGCTGCCTGATGGGACAGCCATGCATGTACCACTGGTGGTTCAAACTGCCTAGCAGTGAGACATACAAATCCTAGGCCTATTATGAGAATGTTAAAAGAAAGTTACATTCTGAAGATAAGCTTTTAACTTATAAGCTTGAGACCATTTTATATTAAAATGTTAAACACAGGGAAAGCAAAGGTATTTAAAGCCATTTTATATATATATATATATATTTTTTTTTTTTTTTTTTTTTTTTGGGGGGGGTGGTGGTGGTGTGTAAGATTGACCCTAAAGGCTCAGGCACATTAGGTAAGTATTCTATTCTATTCCTAAGACTGTCTCCAGCCCTTTTTATAATCTATTTTAAGACAGTCTTGGTAAACTGCCCAGGCTGGCCTTGAACTTGTGATCTTCCTGCCTAAATCTCCTGGGATTACCAGTCTGAGTCACCATGTCTGATTGAAGCCTTTTTATTCCAAATGAAACACAGTGGAGAAGAACTTAAACATCTTCCATAGACAATTAAGATGTAAATACTGCAATTACGGAAGTTTAATTCTGGCAAACTTTTGTAGTAAACATACTAAAGAGAAATGGTATGATTTCTGGAAACCTAAGAAGTACTAAATTATATTAACTACACAATAAACTGCATAATATACTTAAGTAATAATCTTGGACACAAAATGTTCTAAGATAACAATTACTAGAAGGATTAACGAGACTTAAATAGTGGGAAATGAAAATACTTTTGGCTACCTAGTCGTTTTTTAAAATTAGGCACTCAACCTACTTAACTAGATGGTTTCAATTCACATTCACTCCCCTCTCCCCATCTCTTTCTCTTGCTATCTTTCTCTCTCTCTCTATAATGGAGACTGACCCCAAGACCTTATACAAGCTAAACAAACACTCTTACCACTGAGCTATATCACAAACCCCATTTTCTGTATTTTGTTTACAATGAATTACATCACTTTTCACATTTGGCCAGTTTTATTTTTAGTTAAATATTTTATTTTAGGATAACTGTTATTGTGAAAATCTCATATAATACTTTTGATTACCGAAGTGTCAGTGCTGATGAAATTCATTATTTGATAGAAGTATCATCTGCTCAAGAGCCTAGAGGAGGAATAATATAATTCTCAACCTTTTCTATGCTCCTGGCTGACCAAGAAGGATAATCAAAGCTGGTAGGGATGGGAGGCCCGAGGACACAGCCAGCAAGAAGCAGGACAGTGGTGACCTTAGTGGTGACCTGAACTCTCATGAAAATAAAGGTTTCACAAAGCAGCCGTGGAAGTCAAGTCCTTTTAGTACCAGGTAAGAAAAGCAACTTCTTTAGTCCATTTTATGTTAGCACAATTACATTTTTTGGCCTTATTTTTATACATTTGCAAAAGGAGAAAAATATGTTCAAGAACTCCTCAAATTCACCCTGCTTTTCAAGTCAATCTGGGAGGTTTTTTTGTTTTTGTTTTTGTTTTTTGGTACCAGGGATCGAACTCACGACCTCGCACTTGCCAGGCAGGTGCTTACACCACTGAGCTAAATCCCTGGCCCAAGTCTATCTGTTTTAAATAATAGGTATAAATCTTCATACATAATACAGTAGCAACAAGCCACATCAATAAAATCAGTAATAAATCTATCTAGAAGAAAAGTTTATACAATCATATAAAAAGGCCATTAACACTATCAACTGGAAATTTTATTTACATAACACTGTTAGAGAAGTGTACCCTTACAATGCTGTTTGAATATTTTTAAGTGCTGCTTCTACAATAATTCTGGACACAAGCATACTCCCTGTCAAGTTGTGTAAAGTAACACATCAAATGTAAGGTTTCTGACCTCACTTTCAATGGAACTAATGCAGGACACTTTAAGAGACTGTGAACAAATCATTACAATTTCCAAGTTTTTAGGACTATTTAGTATTTAACTATTATCATTCCAGTTATAAAGAAAAAATAACCCAACTAGCGGTCATGGTGACAAACTATATAATTCCAGAATTCTGGAAGATTGAGGCAAGAAGATCTCAAATTCCAGCTAAGTCTGGACAACATATGAACACCTTTCCTCAAAATAAAAAATAGAAAAAATCTGGGAATGCAGCTCAGTGCAGAGGCCCTGGATTCAATCACTAGTACCGGAAAACAAAAAATTAACCCAAATGATACAGCTTCCTAAAATTGACTGAATTCACCTGAGCCAACAGGTGCTAAGGCAATGGAACTGGGAAGACAAAGACCAAAAACCCAAACAAACCAAAGAGTACTATAACTCCATAAGTCAGAATCTCAAGTAAATCAAGGGATACACAAACTTACAGAAGAAACTCAAAAAAGATTAAATTTTTTCAGGGATGGAGACCACAGAAAGTTTCACAGATTTCTGAACTACTATGCAGAAAAGCAAAGGACACAAGAAAGCATTTCACACTTAGTGTAAAAAGCAAAACAGAATCTGGAGACATTTTAAGAATGAAGTGCATGGGCAACCAGCAGGAAATGAGGCACAGACACACAACCACAAAGTCCTGGGTATGTAATGCTCAAACACTTGAACTTATGACAGTACTTCAAATTATAACTATGGAACTGAACTGACAGTGTGAAGGATAAAGTAATTTTTAAAAATTGCACTTAAGTTTTCAAAGAAAAATGAAGCAAGGAAGTCAGCAGAGAGTGGAGAAGAACAAGAGATCCTGAAGGTGAAGGCAGGTGAGGTCACCAAACACATCTTTTGGAAAAGGGCAGAGACCTGACTAAGCCAGTGTGTGAAGTGCCTGGCAGCTCCGAGCACCCATTCAAGAGATGCAGTCACTACACCAACACTCAATCACAGTGGTCCTGCTCTCTCAGGGAGTTCAGGAGCTCAGATGCACACCCGAGATAGTGGGGCTCAACTGGGCTGGACACTTTGCAGAGTAAGTACATGCAGGGAACACAGGGCAGGGAGTTACAAGAGTTGGCAAGCAAATGTTCATAGGCCTACAACAAGTACACTGATGATCAAAAGATGTAAAGCTATGTGAAAGTCACAGTAAAAAGTGGCTAGTGGTGCCACTGGACCCAAATTCTCAATGTGTTCAAGGACAGTTAAATGAACACAGACAATAAAGCTAGCAAGCTAGAATGAATGATCAGAAAATGGGAAACTTTACAGAGCATTAAAGATAATAAAAAAATAACTGGCCTTAAGAAGGACAAGGAAATGGGTAAAGAGCTGAATCTTCAGACAGCAACCTTGGGTTTAATCCCTAGCACCTTCATTAAAAAAAGAGTAAGTCAAATGCCAGTGCTATCAGATGCCACAGTACTAAACACTTGCTGATATGAGTCATCAAATATTTACTTGTTCTCAGGCTGTAATGCTACATGATACGAGGTCAAGCTTTCAATTATATTATTCTGTCACATCAATCACCACTAGCAGTGGGATGGAAGAATATAGAAATGTACATTTATTTTTGTGCAACTAGAGATTGAATCCAGAGCCTTCACACTGAGCTATCAACAGCCCATTGTTTGATCTTTATTTTGAGACACTACTAAGATGCCCAGGGCAGGTTCAAACTTGCAATCCTCCTGCCTCAGCTTTCCAGAAATTACAGGTATGTGCCACCACATCTAGCTAAACATTAAATTTCACACTCAAAAACAAAAGGAAAAAATCTACAGGAAAACTTTAAAGGAAATTTAGATTCAACTGAGCCTTTCTTGAGATATACCTTCAAACACTGAACCGTATCACTGCGGTCCTTCCTTTCACATGTACTTTGCCTTGAACTCCTAAGCATGGAAAAGACAGTACTGCACAGTTTCACATGCTGCAACAAAATGCCATCAAATCTGCAGGGGCTTTGCTTTTCATATCTGAGTTTCTGTGCTTACAGCAGAGTCACTGCCTGGGCATTAACAGAACAGGCATTTAACAGTTTCTGACTGATTCAGTCTGAGATCACCTATGCAGGTCATATAATTTCTAGACAGACTAGATATCTATAGTACAAAGTGTCATTCACTAGTGAATTGGGGTTAAAAAAATACTTTCATATTGATTCAGCTACTTTTTAAATTTTACTTTTGTTGTGGTGCTGAGGATCAAACCAAGGCTGGGCCTTATGGTGATACTAGGTAAGCACTCAAACCACTGAGCTAGAACTGACACCTTACTCTTCGTAAAGTGAAATCCTCACATGGGAAACAAAAAAAGCAGAGTTCTTTCTCTAGCCAAAAAAAGCCCAAATAATTAAAAAAATTAACCAAATAAAGTCCCACATTTTACCTCGGTAATAGGCCTTTGTTATAGCATCAAATTCCTCTTGACCTGCAGTATCCCATAACATTAATCTGACATCTTCATCATTAATTCTGAAAGAGAGATTAGCTTGTTCAATATGTAAAAATTTTTTTATAGTACGGCTTTGTGTATCTTTTTATTTTTGAAATACAAATACATTAAAACTATTGTCAGTTTTACTCCACAGAAGCCTGAGTAGTTACTTTTAAAAGTACATGGTATTTTCAACAGTGATAGCAAAGCTATAGCTTCAGAAGTCTTGTCCTTCAACAAAGGTCACGAGCAGCAGTGGCTCTAAGACTGGCCATGCTGGGAGGGGGAATTCCCTCAGGCCAGGGCCCACACGCCTTTCACCACACCATGTCACCCCAGTGACAGGCTGAGACATTTAAAAGCAACAGCCTGCCTGCATGGTCGTCCTGGCAAACATTCACTCTACTCTGTCACACAGCTGACTCTTCTTGTGGGCACAGTTATGGCCCACCATGTTTTTTGTTTTTTTTTTTTTTTAATTCTGGCTCAAACTTAGGGCTCGGCATGTGCTGAGCAAGAGCACTACCACTGAGCTATGTCCCTGGTCTACACTGCTGTTATGAAAGCTGAATTAGCAAATCTAACCCACTTTGCTCTAAGGGATACGTTACTGGGAATCTCTGGTTATATTTTCACCAACTGATCAATACATAATCTTGCTTTAAGTGTTTCTAAAGAAATTTTATTAATTGTTAATTCCTTAACACTGAATTCATGCCCAAGACTTCCACCAACATAATAGTGGGGTTACAAATCACTTTTATCAAGTAGATGAATTTGCAATTAGCCTATGACTAATGAGGATCAACTATACACTTAAAATATTAATTTGGTTTCAAGTATTAAGTACAAAAAATAAACACTGTAATCTCAGCACTCGAATGACTGAGGCAGGAGGATCATTCCAAGTTCAAGACGAGCCTGGACTACAAAGTGAGCCCCAAGCCAGCTTGAACTGCATAATGAGATCCTGTCTTAAAAAGACAAACAAATTTTAAAAAGTAAAATAAATAAACTAAAATAAATATCATCAAGAATTAAAATGAGTCCTCTTAAAATACATTCTAAGAAAAGAAGCAATATGGCGGCACACAAAAGTATCAGATTGGGAATTATTATTTAAAACAATGAACACAATCATATTTGCTTGATGCTACTATTATCTAAGCCATTAAATCAGATTTGTTTAATGGTTCTTCTTTCTTTTTTCTTCTTTTTGGTCTTTTTTGAGGCAGGGTTTCATGATTTGGTTGAGGCTGGCCTTAAACTCACAGCAATTCTCCTGCCTCAGCCTCCGAGTGTTGAGATTATAGATGTAAGCCACCATGCCCTGCTAATGGTTATTTCTGTAATACATTTTAGTTTGTCTCCTATAATCTAAAAGTCTTGAAACATCTCAAGAATAATAACAAAAAATATTACTATGAAATGATGTAGAATCTAATTAGATTTTCTAAAATAAGATTTCCTTTCTATAAGCATACCTAATCCTCTCAAATCTGTTTATTTCTTTAGAGTAAATGTGAATTATTAATTTTCTAACATTTATATACTCTTCCAAGAGAACAGACATTCTAAACAAAAGAAGTTTATAATATAGGAGATGAAAATTATTCTGAGAGACAGGCAGCTTTCTTCAAAATAAAATAGACGGAAATTTCATTGGAGTCAAGTTATCAGTTTGTGTTTAGAACACTTGAAGGTATAACTAATACACAAGCACATTATAAGACAAGAAAAAAAGGGGGAAAGAGAGAAGAAACAGGAATATAAATGATAAAAGGGAAAAAAGATGAAGAAAAAAGAAAAAGATACATACGCCATCAGCAACAGTCCATTGAGCATTACCACTAGTTGCCTAATCTTATAATTAATTACAAATATTAGCCTAACCACTGTAATTTATTGCAAGTAAGTTATTGCAAAGAAAGTCTTAGACATAGTTCATAAATCCAAACCAAAAGAATCAAAGAGCTAGACACATACTGTATTTGTCGCTCCAAAAAATCAACTCCAATGGTTTTCTTGTAGTCTTTTGTAAAAACGCCTTTGCAGTACCTCTGAATCATACTTGATTTTCCAACTGCTCCGTTCCCTACAACCACCATCTTGATGGCCACTTCCATATCTTCCTCCAACATTTTTAAAGTAGAAATAATTTCTGTATCAACTCCAATTCCAGGTATAGAGTCTTCTGTCAGATCTGGGATTTAAGATAAAATTATTTTTCATAACACAAAAATTGTATAAACTACAACTGTTTAATCAGGAAATAGTTACACTGCATTGTAAGAATTTGGCCTTGGCTCCACCTCTTTCAGACAATGTAAATTTTGTGAAAGGTGAAATGATTTATTTTTAATACTTTATCAGTGGCATAAAGCATGATATGTACCAATAAATGCCTAAATCTAGGGATAGGGATACAGCTCAGCAGCAGAGTATATGTCTGGCAAGCATAAGGTCTTGACTTTGATATCTGGTACCCAAAAAAAGAGAGAAAGAAAAGAGAGAGAAAAATAAATGCCTAGATCTGTGTAGTTCTCCCTTCCACAGAGATGAAGACTATAGCAAGTGAAGGTGAGGTGTGATTTAAAGCTGCCATTTACTAGTTCTGTTTTTTGAATAGTTATTGCTTAACCTCTTTGCTTTAGTATCCTGGTAATAGTATCTACTTCACAGAGTTGTTGACACATAAAAAGAACTTCCCACATATGAAATAGAGCTTGCAAAAACTGCTTCTGTTACACAGTAAGCCCCTACAGTGTATCACCAAGCAGGCAACAAACACAAAATCTGAAAAACTCTTTTCAACCTCACAGGTAAATGTCTTATAATGAATGTCTCCAAAGAAAGGTTTTGCAATAATAATATGCAACTAAGTGTCAGAACTGGGCTCTCAGTTACACTAGTTCACTGTTTAGTCTGCAATGAATCTTGCACAAATAATCCTATACCATGCATTCTCTAATTTCACACAATAATTACTCATAATGAAAGTAGCAGAATGTGCACCCTTTGCATTTTAAACTAGCAGAATACTCAATTTCTTTGTATTTCTTCTTTAAATTAATAGGTGCCTACCTCTGTAGCTATTATATTCCACTGATCTTACTGAAAACCTATTTATACAATCATAACACAGAGTGAGTCTGAAATATGAAGAATCTTTCTTTGTTCTCTATAGACTCTCAACAACTGCCCCTAGAACTTCAAAAAGTTGCATGACTGTAAAATTATATAGGAGAACTTGTTAAAGTTTGCATTCTGGGTCTCCAGTTCACAAGGGCTTTGGAATCAGTTTCAAAAATAAGTACAGAAGCCTGGTGTGGTGGTACATGATCCTTGCACTAGAGAGGCAGAGACAGATTGACAGTTCAGTGCCAGCTTGAGCTATCAAGCAAAACCATCTCAAAAATTAAATCAATACAGAAACAAAATAAACACAAAAGTATGTAGTTTAGATTTCCCTCCAACAGAGATGTTCTCTGGCAATCCTGAGCAGTGACAGCTTCAGGACCCTTGCACCTTTTGAAGCTGTATTCTCCCCTAAGGCAAGAACCAAACCTGCAGGACAACCAGGGTCAGGGCCCTTTCTGACCAATGTGAGATTCCTCTTTTAGCTGAGGCTCTCTCTCAAGTTAGAAAACTAAACTAATAACTTCCTATAAACAAAGATGCAAAACTTTCTGACAAAAATATAAATAAACTTAATTCAGCGTATTTAAAAAATACTATACCATTGATTCTGAGAATGTAAGGCTGGTTCAATGCTTGAAAGCCAATCAACATAATTCACCACATTAATACAAAGAAAAAATTACATCACGGTATCAACAGATACAGAGAAAATACTTCATAAAATGCAACACTCATTTGTGAGGGAATAAAAAAAAAAAATCTCAGAAACCAAAAATAGAATAAGACTTCCCCAAATCAATAAAGGGCATTTATCACCTAAAAACCTAGTTTTAACATCATTCTTAATTCGAGAGACTGCTGTATTAGTCACTTTACTATTGTTAGGACAAAATACCTAACACCCACAAGTTCAAGGAGATATTACTTGGTTCACATTTTCAGAGGGTTCAGAACATTTGGCAGGTTCAAGGCAGAAATTGCAGAGTAGAAAGGCATGTCAGGAAAGTTGCTCCACCTATGGCAACCAGGAAACAGAAGGGAGGAGGCGAGACAAGAACAAACCTTCCCAGGTTACATCCCCAGCGACTTACTGCTTGCCACCAGGCTCCACCTCCTAAAATCACATTCTGCTATGAACTCAGCAACGGACTAATCTAGTGACAATACCACATCTCTACCCATAGCACACTAAGGAATTAAAGATAAATAGAAAGACACAAACTACTTATGAATTGGAAAACTCCACAAAGTAAATTAAGTATTTATTTCCAGTTCTTTCAAGGGTCTCATGAAATGCAATTCAAATTAAAGTACCAGCAAGATTTTTTTTTTTTTTTTTGGTAGACAAGCTGACTAAAATTTACATGGAAAGGTAAGAGAACTAGAATAACTAACACTATTCGGAGAAAAAAATAAAATTGGAAGAAACTATATTGTTCAATTTTAAGACATTTTAAACCTAAATTAGTCAAAATGTATAACTGGCAAAGGGAAAGATACATAAATGGATGAAACAGAACAGGGAGCTGAAAGTAGATCCTCATAAATATGACCACTGATTTTAACAAAGATGTGAGAGCAATTCAAAAAAGAGGACAACCCTTCAACAAATAGTGATGGAATAACTGGATGTCTATATGCAAACAAAGCACAACTTCACTTAAACTTCACACCTTATACATTTAAACCAAAATTGATCACAGATCTAAACGTGAAACTGTAACCTGAGATAAGCAGAGCTGTCAGACATGATAACAAAAATACAAAAAAGGGAAAAATTGATCAGCTTGAGTTCATCAAAAATCAAAAACATTTGCTATCTGAGAGATAATATCAATACAATTAAAAAAAGATAAGTTACAAATATAGGAGACAATATTTGCAGAATGCATATCTTACATAAACAGCTAAATTAAAAAACAGTAAAAAGTTGACAATACCACGTCCTGGGGAGAATGCACAGCAACTGGAACTCTCACATGTTGTAGATGGGAATGCAAAATGAAACAGCCACTCTGGAAAAGAGTTTGACAGTTTTTTAAGAATTAAATATACTGTTTCCATGTAATCTTGAAAGCGCACATGCAGCACAAAGTTCACAACAAAATCTGTATTGTAAAGATTTTATATTGTACTGTATTTATAGCAGCTGTACTCGTAATTGCATAAAACTGAAAACCATTCAGATGTCCTTCAAAGGGTGAAAAAAATGGGTAGATGGATGTAGTAATCCTTCTAATGAAATACTACTTTACAATCCAAAAGAAAAAGAAAAAAGAAATTATCCATAGGTGAATCAACTTGGAGAAATAGCAAAAGCCTTAGGAGAGGGAAAGCAGCAAGTATCACTTTTCCACTGTTAGGATCCCACTGAAAAGACATTCCTGAAAGGAACCGCTGCAGGGTTTCCGGTGAGGGAGAACCTAAGTTCCCTGTGGGCGACAGAACTGTGTTATATCCCAGAACTGTGTTACAGGGATCAGCATCTGACTCAAGTCATGTAAGTGCACACTGCCATAAAGGCCAATTATCCCACATGATTAATTTTAAAAATGAAAAGACAAAAGTGAAAGCAGATTTAAAGTTTTGTGATTCTCAAGCCCTACTTTATAAAACACTATCAAAACAATTATCTCTTAGAAAAGTATAATTATCGTATCATTTGATTATGAAAATTTTTTTCATAAAATTAAAAACAATTTTTAAATGATAAAAGTCCAATAAAGGAGCTGGGCCTGGTGGCTCACGCCTGTAATCCCAGCTCTCCGGAGGCTGAGGCAGAAGGATCATTGCAAGTCGGAGACCAGCCTGGGCTACAAAGTGAGCTCAAGGCCAGCCTGAACTGCACTGTGAGGTCCTGTCTCAAAAAGACAAAAAAAGCGTAACTCTGGGCCCTATAATTAAGAACCTTGAGTCGTACGTTATACAAACACCCTCTGCACACAAACTTGTTTTGCCAACCAATGCTGTCTAATGAATCAAGAGAGGAAAGAACAAGTTAACGCGCAAATGAGAAAGGTGGTTTCTGACACCCTGCAGTCTCGGACGCTCGTGGCTCCGAGCCTCAGGACCCTGAAGTTCGGGTCGGGCGTCACCTACCCCCGGGGAGGCAGGGAACCCTCTTCAGATGGATCCCCCAGACCGGCTCCCAACTGCCACGGCTCCCTCCTCTCGGTGCGCGCTCCCGGATCTGGCCGGCGGCTCGCGGGAGCGCGCGGGCGGACCCCGGCCCCAAGGGGCGCCCCGCCCCGGGAGGCCGGGCTCCCACACCCCCAGGCCGAGTGCGAAGCCGCCGCCGCCGCCGCCTCACCGTCCCCGCGTTGTTCTCACTGAAGCCTCCCAGCCGCGGAGCAACCACCGCAGCCACTCCTGCTGCCCGTCCCCGGCCCCAATCGCTCGCTCCCGCGGCCTCACTCCTGGGAACTACAGCCGCTGTCGCACAGCCCGCCGCCCGCAGGAGCCCGGCCCAGGGTCTCAGGACGCGGAGCCCCGCCCCCACCCCGCCGCGCGGCCGCGAGCATGCGCTGTGCGGAGCGCCGATACTGCGCATGCTCCGCCTCGCCCACCCCGCTGTTGACCAGAGAGGCGCGGCCGGCTGCGCGCGCCCCGCGTGTTGGGGACTGTAGAGCTCCGGCATCCATTGCACAGCAGAGGCCGCGAGGAGGACTCGGCCTGGGAAGGCCGTGAGGTCTCCCACACAGCCGGCAGGTTCGCGCCGCCTCGAGCCACCTAGTTCCCCGACGGCCGGCGTCGCCCAGCGGCACTGCGGGGCCACGTCGGCCCGGGCACGGGGGCGAGGTCTCCCCAGAGCCGCGCCGCCGCAGGGCCCCGGGAGCCGCGCAGCTCGCCCCTGCTCCCTCACGTGTTAACCGGGAAACGGGCTAGCAGAGGACGCCGCCGAACACCGCGCGGCAGCAGCCGGCCCGGAGCAGGCGGCTGCTGCAAGCCGAGCCCCCGCTCCTCCGGGTCTGGCCAGGCGCGCGCACGGCCAACGGGCGGTGGAATCTCATTTCTGTCGTTGCATCAGTGCCTCAAACGGAGGCTTCGCAAAAGTCCAAAGACGATTTCGAGCCTTTATTAACGCTAGCCAGAAAACAAGAGGAGTTGGAACAGGCCTGCAGTGAGAGTGTGCCTGCAGGCCCCCGATAGCCAAAGGCATTTTTGTTGTGAGAGTTTGGGAAATAAAGCCTTGCGTTCTCATTGCATCCACACTGGCTGTAGGTGGGGCAGGTTAACACAAAGAGAGGAGGCAGCCCGTAAGAACTTGTTTCTAGACTGAAGTTAGTCATCTGGGTAAAAACCTGTTCACAAGCAAAATACAATGGGGCCTAATGGTCAGCCGCTGTGACTAGTCGTGAGTTGCACACAATTATTTTAGGAAAAATATTCTCATAACTTTTAAGTCATCAATGATTGATTCTAGGTACTAGAATCACTGACCCAGGAAAAAACGTGTGCTTACTAGTTTTTCCACTGTCTTACTGTAATGATAATCGTGAACTACAACTAAATGAAATAACAATGTAAAATAAAAGTATGCTTTTTCTTTTGCGAGGGTGCTGGATTTCACTAGATCACTAAATTTACCAGGCTGAGCGCAAACTTTCAGACCTTTTGCCTTAGCCTTCCAGAATGGTGGTGATAGAACTGCGGGGACCCGGCGGTGGCTGAAAAGATAAGTATGAAATATAAATGACCTTTATTTTGAGAATGCGGGGAGAGAACCCTGATCCTCTGGGGCGCGGCATCTCCGCCTGGGGTCAGGGATCTCTCCCTGGAACATGTGGAGTGGGGACATACTAGCTTAGGTTGGGGGTGGTGCCTCAGGGACATTAGGGATGCACAGGTAGCCCATTGGTATTCTTTTGGCGCCAGAGGTAAATTCCTAGGGGTGGGGGAGATGGAGCTCCTTGCCTCCACCTGAGGCTTTTCCAGCTACAGTGTTTGGGCCTGGGCCAAAACTGATGGAATCATCGATCTGTGCCATCATGGCCAGCTGGGAAATATTCTGAAGGAAGAAATCCTTGAAAATTTGACCAGTTAAAGCCGGGCGTGGTGGCGCACTCCTGTAATCCCAACACTTGGGAGGTTGAGGCAGGAGGATAGTTGCTAGTTCGAGACCAGCCTGGACTACAAAGTGAGCCCAAAGCCAGCCTGAACTAGATAGGTAGACCCTGTCTCAAAAAGAAAGAAAATTTGACCAGTTAGACTATAGGTCTCATATACATGTGAATGAGTATGCGCTCATCAGAGGAAATCTGATAGAAACAGTAGTATTGGTGGTGTGGCTTGTTTTCAAAGGTGATTAGATCTAGAGTGTATGATACTGGGATTACCGGGGTGTGATTACTAAATCCTCTGATTGATTTGGCATAGTTCTCTGTGGATAATGGGAAGGCCCTCCCTGGATATGAGTGCTACCCACCTGAACTATGTATCCTGGATAGAACAAAAGGAACAGAAGAAGGGCTGCTGCCTTTGTCTTGTTGTGGGTTACTCCCTTCTGTCTGCCATCAACTGTTCCTGCTGTGCCATCCTGCATTATAAACTGAAAACGGTACAGACTTCCTCTTTAATGATTAATTTAATTAATAAACCCTTCCTCTTTTAATTTTGGGTGTGGGATATTTTGCCTCAGCAACAAGAAAAGTAACCAAGACAATTAGTCCACACAGATACAATCTTCTAGTCCAGAACCAAATAAACCATACTGGAAAATTTTTTCTAAAACTTTCTAGTTAGAAATCAGAATACTAATCCAGTTCTTTCTTTCTTTCTTTCTTTATTTAAAGAAAAAAAAAAACAGTATAAAGGTACAAGCAATACAGAATTTCCAAAAAGAACAGTAAGAAATAACTAGTTAGTAGATTACATATTGTCTTCTTAGAAACAGTTGTTCAAGTTACAGGATTAAAGCATACAAAGTGGACATTCGAACAGTGACATTGCAAACAGTTGTGTTCAGTGATCCAACAAAAACTTAGTAATATGGTCATCTATCTTAACACACCTAAACATACTTGCAATTGTATCCTTTGGAGTACTTTTTTTTCCCCTCTCTTTTTTACAACAAAATTTATACCTTTTGGGTTTTATTACTCCCATAGTTCTTATTACTTTTTTTTTGATTAGAATAAAACCAAATATGACAAAACAGTCAGTCAAAACAAAGGATAGACATACCACAGGATGTAAAAACAGAATACAAAGTTATCAACAATGGTTACCATAATGCCTTTTGCTACCTTAAAAAGAATTGACTACATCATTAGGTATAATAAAATTGAACAAAACAGTACAGAACAAGACCAATAAAACCTAAACATTGGAAACATTACAGGACTTCAAAAGAAGATAATAGTCAAACCAGAATGGGCATCATAGTGAATCTTATTGCCTTCAAAGTAGTTGCCTATATCCTTAAACTTGATACTATCAAATAGAACAAAACAGTAAAATCAGTCAAAACATGATAGTGGGAGTAATACAGGGCTTCAAATCAAGTTAATAGGAAATCAAAAAAGCTACTATAATATATCCTAATTTTCCCCTTAATTAAAAAGATAATAAAAAATAAAACTAATCCAGTTCTTAAAAGTTGCTTGACCCTGAATCATAGTGTCTCATCTATAATAAGGAATTACCACTTTACAGTCATTTTTCCATTTAAAAAATATTTATGCTGGCTGGGAACTTAGCTCAGCGGCATAAGTGCCTGCCTTGCAAGCAGGCGGTTGTAAGTTCGATCCCTGGTACCGATAAAAAGGAAAAAGACAAAAAAAAATTTATGCCATGTACTGTCCTAAGCAATGGATATTTAATGATGGATATAAAAGGCATAGTTGATTTCTTCTCGGAGCTTATAGTCCAGTGAGGGATACCAAAAAGGAAAAGTACGTAAATATATACATAAATTTATTACAAAAATAGTTACACTATTTGGACATTATGTGAAAGAAAGGTGGTATGGTAGATGTGGGAGGGGACTGATTTAAATTGGACAGAGAAGGTCTTTCTGTCAAAGTGAGGTTTAAACTGTTAGCTGAAGGATAAATGAGCTAGTTACCTGAGATAAAGCTGAGCAGATAAAGATTTTAAATAGAAAAAACTAGATATAATGACGGGTTAAATTTGGTGGGTTTAAAGAATTGAAAGGGACAAGGGGACCAAGAGATAAAAGGAGGAGAAGAGTGAAAAAGAAGGAGAGGAGAAAAAGTAGCATGTGTAAATATATGCTTCACACAATGAATATAATCAGAGGCACGGAACACATGTACTAATAATGTTTCTAAGTGAGAGGCCCAGTATGTGGGAGTGAGGTGGAATGTGGTGTGAAAACAAGCATTGAAAGAAGTAAGACCGTACCACAAAGGCCTTGTGGGTTACATTAAACAGTTTTGGTTATAATTACCAAGGATACTTAGAAACCATTAGAGAACTTTTAGGTCAAGGATAAAAATATCCACTTGGTGGTTTGAAAAGACTGCTCAGTCAGCTGTCGTAGGGAGCCGCCACAGCCCCATTGCTACCTCCCTGCCTCTCTCTCTCCTATGGGCACAATGCTTCTGCCTACATTAACCATAATCCTCCCCTGCTTACGTCACATACCCGGACATGAGGATGACCCTGTTGCATTCATCCCCCTAGCCGCTTCCTGTCCCACCAGCCCGCCCTTGGCCTATAAAAGATGTGATCACTTCCAGAATAAACGGGGCTTGATCGGATTCTCTCGACTTGCCTCAGTCTCTCTCTCTGTCTCCCCGATGTGTTTATTTAATCCCCGTTCCCCCTCCAGGTACACCCCACAGATTGATCCTTGGGCCAGATCAAGCTGTCTAGGGATAGCACAGAGTAAAGGAAAATGGGGGACCAATGGAAGGCTGGGAGAATGAAACATGGAGAGACAGACAGAGGAACCAGCAGGAGTGAAGCAGAAAAATGGATGCATTTGATTTTAACTTTAGAGGCAGGAACAAGATAAAATGTCAAGAATGTGGTGAATAATGGTCAGTAGGTATCTTAGTCCATGCTTCTATTTGCTGTGGCAAAATGCAATCAATAATTTACAAAGTATAGAGGTTCATTAAGCTCACAGTTCTGGAGGCTGGGAAATCTAGCAGCTGGATGCTGGTGACCACCCAGCAATTGATGAGGGCCTTCTCAGCATCATAACATGCAGAGACCACCACTCAGTGAGACAGAGCACTCATTCCACAGACAGCTAGATGTTGCTGGAAAGTCACTCTTCAAGGTACCCCATAAATCCACTAATGACTGGGTCCATCCATGACAGCTCTAGCCTCATGATCCAGTCTCTTTCCACTTTTCTCTCGATACTGGGGACCAAACTCCCAATACATGAAATTTGGGAGAGACATTCAGACCATAACAATTAAAAACTGTTTATAACTCCAGCCCAGGTGAGTCGAGACACAGTCTATTCATTCTAGA